ATATGAATGGAGTGTGTTCTATCTTTGATGGACCTTCCTTTGAAGACTATCCTATCCTATCCTTGTTGAAATCTGTTGGAATTTATATTGGCCATGTTTTTCCCCAGTACTGCACAAATTTTTTCACCATGTAATATATCAAACACAACACAGCAGCTAATTGTTTCATGTGATATCCAGACACCAAGAAGTAGAATGAAGGACCAAGTTTGAAGTGTCTGCATATTGGACAGCCTCCCATGCAGGCATTTTTAGGGCTTTGTCTGCATTCCTTCCTAACAAATGCCTGCTGAAATGAGCAGCCACTTCCATTCATAGAAACGATCCAATTAGAGGCTGTTTTCCAACTATGGGTAAACTTGTGTTTGTTATTATTACCGTGGACAAGGTAGCGGACTTAAATATGTAAAATGATGTGCTGATGTGCAAAACATGTGATATTAGAGAGTTCAAGCCATATCAGAGAGAAGCCATAGTCCAATTTGTTCCGAAGAAGACTGATGTTTTTGTAAATCTTCTAACCAGATGTGCAAAGTCACTGATTTATCAAGCTTTACTGTCTGTTTTTGACCCAATTTTTCAAGCCACTGGCCATGTTGTTGTTGTGGCTTCGCCACTTGTAAATCTTATCAAAGACCAGGTAGACAAGCTGGCAAATCTTGGAATTCTTTCCACTTGTTCTCTGTGACAATCAATGATAATCAAGGAGTGTATTGTATGATAAACACAACAGTCAAGATGGCTATCCAGCTGAAAGGGCTTTATTCTTCATATATGTTACCTGATGCACTATGACAATTAATGACATACTAGGGTCCTCAGAAGAAGAGATGAAATATGCGCATCTGGTCTAAGCATTTATGCCACATCCTTCCCTTTTTGGAAAACAAAATGAATCTTAATAAAATGAAATAAAATCTATGCCTAAAAAAGTGTCTCTGTCCTTGGATTTTAAAAGAAAAAAAAAACCATTAAATGGTTCTTAGTCCCTAATTATTTTGGTCTAGAGGTCCAACTGCTCTGGTTTTACTACTCATCTGCTACTTCAGGTAACATAAGGCGCTGAGCTGTCCATCTTTGGTGGTTCAGGGTCATGGTGTTGCCCCTGAGGTGAAATTACAGGCAACACTGGTGGGGCTTGAGCATGGTCAGTCTCATCCTTGGTTAGATTCTGGTGTGCACTGTCATCAAGATACAGTTCCACATTTAAACTTCCATAACCTGGAGCTGGGCAAACTCGTAGCTGCTGTCTGTTACAGCGATACTTTATGTCATCTTCTGCTTGAAGTACATAGAACCTTGGTGTGTTTTTTGTCTGACTACCGTCACTGGCTTTCACTTTCTGGAATTAGTCCAGGGCTGCACTCGCACCTTCGGTCTGGGCTGTAGGTCCTTCATTTCACTGCTAGCATGTCGGACATGGTACTTCTTCTGATCCTCTTTGGTCTTCTTCAGGTACCTGGAAACATCCTTTTGGTTGACATTAGCAAGTTGAATCAAGCTGTCCATCATTGGTAACTCATTTCTCAGTCGATGTCCCATCAGTAGTTGTGCTGGCAACAGTTTAATGCCTGGTAGTGGTGTCATCCAATAGTTTAGCAAGGCCAGATGTTTGTCACTGTTCTTTCACCATAGATTTTCTGACAGTCTGAATGGCTCTCTCCGCCTCTCCGTTAGACTTTGGGTAGTGTGGCAAATTGATGACATGTTTGAAACCTTACTCTTTTGCAAATTCTTGAAATTCGCTGCTGCTGAATTGGGGGTCATTAACTGATACCACTTCTGCTGGGATCCCATTAACTCGAAATTGCCTTTTCAGCTCTTTTACTACAACACACTGCTTCTCAAAGACTCCATCTTGGTAGTCTTCTGGGAGCTTGCTGCGATGGCATACAGAGAGTTAATAGTGTTCACCTCAAAATTCTAACAGATCAGTTCCTATCTTCTGCCAAGGAAGTGATGGTAGTGCAGTGGGTTTCAATGGCTCCATAGGCTGTTTCTTGGCAAAATCTGCACACAGGCTACAATTGGAGACTGTTGCTCCACATCTAGGGACATTCCAGGCCAAAATAGTACCTAACTGGCTCTTTGTCTGCATTTGGCTATTCCTAGGTGACTCTTGTGGATCTGGCAAAGAATTTCAGGTCTCATAACCTTTGGGATAATCAAGCGTGTTCCTTTGAAGAGGAGTCCATCTGCTGTTGCGACTTTGTCACTGAATGTCCAGTAGGGCCTTGCCTCTATAACAAGTTGCTGCTTTGTGTCTGGCCAACCATTAACTCTCTTCATGGTTAGGACTGCTTGTAGCTCTGGGTCTACTATGGTCCTCTTTCTGGAAGTCTTCATACCGCTCCTCTGATATGGACAGGACCATGTTAATTTCCTAGCATTCTTCATAAGCTTCACTGTCAACAGTTGGCACAGCTGCCCGGTTCAGCGTGTCTGCAAAGACTTGTTTATAACTGGTAATGTAGCAAATCTCAACATCACAGTCTGGCAAACTAAGCAACAATCTATCAAACCTCAGTGGAGCTTGTGACAGTGGTTTGGTACTGATTGCTTGTAAGTACCTATGGTCTTGTCTCTACGATAACAGTTCTGCCATAGATGTACTGGTGGAACTTGCTGCACGCAAAGGCAAAGGTGTCTCACATCTTCTTTGCTTGTCATGCATTGTCTCATCACCAGCCACTATTTCATCATCCATAAAGACCACACCATCCAAATCTTCAACCATTCGATCCATGGTCCTTTGAAAGATTTCCAGGGCGCATTTCACTCCAAAGGGTAGCCTAATGAAAATCTGTACCAGCCGATGGAAGTGTTGAATGTGCAGAGGCATGAAGACTCTTCATCTAACTTTAGCTGCCAGAAGCCACTTACAACATCTAGAATGCTGAAGTAATGGCACCTTTAAGACAACTGACCACTTCATCAATAGTCATCATGGGGTATTGGGGTCTCTTTATGGCACGACTTAGATCCCTCGGATCAATGAACAGTCTCACTGCACCAGTAGGTTTCTGTACTACAACAAGTGAGTTGACCCATTCAGTTGGTTCTTCCTGTGCACAATTACTCCTAGCTTTTCCATCATTTTTATTTCCTTAACAACTTTTACTCTCTGTGGAACAGGTACCTTCCATGGGGCGTGGACTACAGGCAAAGCTTCTTCTACGAGCTCTATGTGAAAAGCGCAAGGCAAACATTCTAAGCCAGTGAACAATTCTGGATAGTCCTCCAGTTCCACTCATTTGGATGGTAGATCCTGACCTGTCAGCTGATAAATCCTTTTTGGAAGACCAAGACCAAGCTTAGTGCAGGAGTTTCCACTAAGCACAGATTCCACCTCAGTATCCACAACAAAGAATTTGATGTTTTCCACTTTATTTTTGTATTGAATGATCAACACTACTTCTCCTTGAGGCTTCAGTTTGTGCTTTGAAAAGGAAAGCAGTACAGGTCTTGTCTTTCTCCAGGGTGGTAGGGGTCTGCACTTGAGGCTGCTGTAGGTCTTCAAGGAAATAACAGTAGTTTTCACACCGCTATCGAGTTTGAATGGAACTTTGGTGTCCTCTACCTCAACAGTTTCATAAAATTGTTCATCCTTAGCTACACTGTTTGATTCAACCAAACAGGGGTGACTCATGTCCACTTTGTCCTGAATCATCTGAACAAACTAGCCTGAATTTTATCCGATTACTTCGAGTCATTATTACTCCCTCACTAACGTCTGAACCGTTAATGGCGTCCAGTGACGTCACTCACTACCCGAAAATTGAATGATAGACTGTGATTGAAGAACAATTGTTCAGCTTGGATTTTCAATGTACTTTGAAACCATGTAAGATAAATACGACAGCCAAGATGGTTGACCAGCTAAAAGCACTTTATTCCTTGTGTATGTCACACAATACACAACAACAAATAATATGATTCACTAGGGTGGTCTAAGCATTTATGTCACATGTACGAGGAAGGAAATACAGTCAAATCTCTTTAATATGGACACTGAAGGGACCATAGAAAGTGTCCATAGGGTGTCCGTGTTAAGGGCGGCGTTATTAGAACAAAATACTAAAGAAATAAAAGAGGACATTAGCATCTTCAAATTAACAACATCTCTAACTTTCACAAAGTCATCATTCCGTGGACTAAATCCACTGAAACACTGAAAAAAATTGCTTATCTATATAGTATACCTGCCAACTCTAACGCCTTAGGCGTGAGTCTCACGCCGGCGGGTTGGAAACTTCGATCTCACGCCGGCTCACGCTTGCGGGCTAATTTCTCACGCCTGATTGAAAAATGTGAGTTGTTGCCATCTTGCTTGACACAATTTCCAAACATATGTTAACTCAGACCCATGTAAGGAATGAAAACCATGTGTAAAATGAGTAAATGACAATACCTTCCTTTTTGAAGTGAAAAGCACTGGGAGCGAGCTTGCCTTCGGCAGACTTCGGCACACTTCGGACGTCTTCGGAAAACTTCGGACTTCTTCGGAAGACTTCGGACTTCTTCGGGAATCTTCGGAAATGATTGTGTTGTCTTCAAAAATCCCAGCACTCCCAGGATAAAACTCTCACGCTTATATCTCAGAAAAAGTTGGCAGGTATAATATAGTTCTCGGCATAACTAGTTTGATGCCAGAAAATAGTCTGAAATTGACATCTACAAATCACTGTATCTGGTTTACTGTAGTGCTGAGAACATCAACATGCTGTCAACTGAAGATTTTTTTACCTTCAAGAAGGAAAGGTTTCCTGTTATAACGTATAGTTGATAATGAAGTGTCCGCATTAGCAAGGTTAACTTTCTACGCGAATCTGTTCGTTGTGTAAGAATCAAGTGTGTGACGAAGCCCTTAGAGCATCTGCATGGGAGGCTACTTAGTGGCTGAAACTGTGTGAAGTATTTGATATAGCTTGTCAATTGAACAATAATTCTTGAAGAAATTCAAAGCAGAATTTGCAAAACTTATGGTAATTAAGGCCCATTTCAAACATTGAACTTTACATGTTCTGAACAGGGATGAAATGGACTTAAAAGTCATCTCTTTCATGGAGGCTGTCAGCCACAAAATAATTGATGATTATCAAGATCCAGTTGGTTGAATTACTGGAAAATCTCCACCACTTAGTCCATTAACCAGCCTCGAAAAAAGTCTTTTTGTTGTAAATATCTCAGTTTTTTTTATGGTAAAACGCTGCAAAAGGCGATCACATGCCATCAAACGGTGGGGGGGGGG